TGTGTGTGTGTGTGTGTGTGTGTGTGTGTGTGCAGTGTGTGTGTGTGTGTGTGTGTGTGTGTGTGTGATACAAAGTGTTATAAATAGAAACTTGGTGCGATAAACCTCCTCCTTATACAGCATTTGTATTCATGACTGAATGTGACAAAAAACAAACACTGGTGATCTTAGCCTTTACAATGTGACATCGTGCTAATGAAAGGTTAGCTATTAAATTAAACCCCTTGATGAGTTTTCCTCTCATGGCATTAATAATTGTTAGCGTAGATGTGACATTTCCAAATCCTGGATATCTCATTTGGAGTGCATACTGTGAATGTGCCAGTACTACAGTACTTAGTGGTGTTTGATTCTGAGGAGAAAAAAGGTTTAATGATTCAATTTAAATGCCCTCCATTTGTCCTGTCCTGCCCACTCTTGTTCCTTTCCCTCCTCTCCTTATTTCCTCTCTCCTCTCCTATTCAGCCTCCATTTGACGGTGAAGATGAGGATGAGTTATTTCAGTCCATTATGGAGCATCACGTCTCCTATCCCAAGTCAATGTCCAAGGAGGCTGTCGCTATCTGTAAAGGGGTGAGTGTGCGCACACACACACACACACACACACACACACACACACACACACACACACACACACACACTCGGTAAAACATAAGTCCTTGTCCGTCTTGTGAGCTCAACCTTGCTCCCTTCTCACAAAACCTGCCTTCTTTTTGGCATTGCTCCATCTCTGTGACACACACACACACACACACACACATACACATACACATACACATACACACACACACACACACACAGGAATAGAGTTGGTAGGGTATTACATTTGTCAGAGGAAAGGAAGCAGATCCCAGAAGAAGGAGGTGAACGTGGGAAGGAGGGAGAGAAGGACATCACAAATATCAGCATAATTAAAACCATTGTGGGGAAACATTTATTTGGAGTGAAACAACATTGTCCGCTCTCGTTATCTGTCTTGCTTCCATCTCTACCTCCCTCTCTCCCCCCTCTCTCTTTCTCGCTCACCCCTTTCTCTCTCCCCCCTCTCTCTTTCTCTCTCACCCCTTTCTCTCTCCCCCTGTCTGTTATAATGCTCTCCTCTCCCGTCCTTCTCTCTCCGCAGTGTTCATTGTTAAGCCGCTGTTTTGCTCTTTTCATTGTACATCCCCTCTATCTCTCACACACACAGACAAGCACACACACATATTCACTGTCTCTCTCACACACACACACACACACACACACACACACACACACACACACACACACACACACAGACAGGCTTAAGCTGCCACTGCAGTACATTCTGGAGTGTTAGGATCATGATGTGTTCAACCACATGTTTCTACAACAGAGTAATTGTGCAAGTAAGTTTTAACAAACCTAAAGGCGCACACACACAGCTTTTTTTGTATCCAATGCATTTCCCTATTGTGTTCTGCAATGCATTTAGCGTGGCTCGGTTTTTTAAATGGTGTAATCACTAGTATGACGTCGTTCAGGTGAGAATGCAGTGTATCGCTTATCCAGAGGAAGGGGATGTTTAGTGTTTTCCTTAAAGAAGAAATGTGTTGCCACCTTTGCTGTGCAAGTCAGTAATTGCAACACACCACATACAAGCAAAAACAGATTGCACACATGTTTGTTAGATTACCGTGCCATGTGCACGCGCATAACGTAAACTATGACGAGACTTTTTATCAATGAGAGAGCATGATGACGACGACAAGAAGGCTATGACTTCATTAAACAATAACTGTCACTATATAATTATTCAATGATTTTGGTGTTTAAAGCTGAGACTGAAATGTAGATTAATTAACACATACAATAAATCTCTCTTTTTTTCTTTGACCAATGCCATGTTTAACCCGTTAAACCTCAAATGAAACACTGCTGGTACATATATGCTGTTCTACAATACCTTTAAGTATTTAATCAACTTAAAGTAATGCAATGATATTAATCAAAACAACACTTTTTTTCTCTTTTATGCTAATGAGCGATGCCATTTTATGCTAAAATGTACCAAACTTCCTGCACCATCTGCACAGCATGAGCACAAACTACTTCACTAACTTTGTGCAAGTGGAGTCACAAATGCAAACAATCACATAAAACATTGTTATGTCTTGACACATAATTAGTTATTTTAAAATGATGAAAAATAGCATTGAAATGATGACATTGTTTGATCCCGTCAGCTTGCATATATATTAAAACAAACACCATGATTGTATAGGAACTAGTTCGGCCCTGTTTTACCAGATGGCGAATACAGCCTGTTACCATTGAGTGACCAGAGGAAGACAGTCATGCTGTTTTTAAATGTGTCATTACTTCCTGCAATCAGTGACCTGTTTCGGTCCGGCTGATTTGTGGTCCGCTGAATGTGCCGTTCTCCTAATTGAATGCACGCAGTGAGGATCCACCAAGACTCCCTTCAGAGGAGATTAGCTGCAGTCACCTGATTTGTTGACAGACTCTCAAAAGAAAGACAAATAAGAGATGACGTACGAGCCAACATGTCTTCTTGACATGATGATGAATTGTGGCTTTTTGTTAGATATTCAGTAAATTGAATTATTTGTGCTTCGGTTTACGTTAATGATTTATTAGTATATTTTGTTATGAGAGGCCAACATGGAGCCTTTGCCTGAGGCTTCACCCCTTTTTTACAATTTACCTATACAAGGGCACAAATGCAGAGCTCCAGTGCGCCAGGTAGAACGTTTACATGCATTTTTTTGACTGCACTTCTTGTCAGTAAATAAGCCTTCTTTATTGAACCTTTTTGGGGTCTTTTTTGGAAGTTATAGCCAGTTTTTGGGGCTGTTACAAACATATTTCAAATGTACTCTAGCAGCAGGTTTTAAGTGTGCCGACAACACGGAGTCACCTTGAAACTTGGGCACATTACTAGGCAAGACAAGTTTATATCAAAGTCCAGCAAAAAGAGATATGAAGACATACAAGTGGACATCAAGAGAGGTTCAAGGCAGAATCAGGAGGACGAAGGTAGAGAGAGAGACGTTGTTATTCCAAACGCACACATGCATGCTTTTGTGTGTGTGTGTGTGTGTGTGTGTGTGTTCAGTGTAAGGTTGACTGACCCGTGGAAAATGTTATTTTAGTTCTAATTTAATGAGTTATGACTGCTGCTCCTGAGGGAGGCACACCCACCTACACACACACACGCACACACACACACACACACTCATTCTGACGTCAGTAGCCTTGATGCTGCTCTTAAGCTTTTGTGTGGACACACACAGTAAACGGTCCTTAATTGTGCCTCTGGAAAACTTCTGCGTTAAAAGAAAAACAAAATGCATTCTGCAGGCGGTGGTTTGCAGGCTTATATCTGGAGTTTTAGAAAGAGCGTTTAAGATGATAGATAGTGGAACTGAAAGCTGGTTAAAAGGAGGGCGAGACAAAAATAAAGGGGTGACGTTTATTTATAAACAGAGATTAATGAAAGGAGGAATCATAGACAAAAACGCTGACGAAAAGAGACAGGAATAAATTAGATGAAACTTTAATGATGCCAGAGGGAAGGTTTGGGGCTTCTCAGCGGCACACTGGTGAGCGTGGATCCCTCTTTAGTTTACAACAATGCATATAATTTAGCTCATGTAAATCTGACAAGTCAAAACATCATTCATCTTTAAATGTAGCATGTAGCATGTATTTAGCATGTAGCATTCTATTAGTTATTCATTTTTTTAATAATAATTAACGTTTTACTTCTGTGATATTCCTGCAAGCTTTTCCTCTAGTGTGTTGTATAGGTTTTTTTCTTTTAAATAAAGCACTGAATAGGGCCCCTTTATAATTTAGTATGACCAAATACTTTTAACTTCTAAATCAGAATGGAGAAAGCGAAGCAAAGCTTGACTAAAAAAATGGGGTTAGGACGACAGAATAAAATCTAACAAGGACATTTTAAACAGAACAAATAACAAAACAGCTGACAAAGTGAACACATAACATTTGCACTGAGAGAGAGTGAAGAGGGACTGATAGTTATTCTTCTCTTCTGTCTGTCCAGCTGATGACGAAGCACCCAGCGAAGCGGCTGGGCTGTGCACCCGAGGGCGAGAGGGACATCCGGGAGCACAGCTTCTTCCGCTACATGGACTGGGAGAAACTGGAGAACAAGGAAGTTCAGCCGCCGTTCAAACCTAAAGCCGTAAGTCCAACCCCACTGAACCCAACCCCACCGCAAATAATGACATCTCGTCTCTTGAGTCGAGCACAGGGCTAAGTATCCCCGAACAGCAGAGACCAGGTGTTTCAATTCCTGGTAAAGATGTCATTTTCTCTTTTTCGATGCTCACCTGATTTCTCTTTGTGTTAATTTACTCATCTTTTCACTTTCAATGTGACTGTTTCTGTCTCTTTCCTCTCCTCTGTATGGGACAATGCACATAGGTAAGTCTGGAAATGATGATGATGATGATGGTGAAGGACGTGTGGTAACAGGGGCACAGATTAAGTTTATTGTGAAGAGGATGAGAATGAGAAAAGTGCCGTGATGAACGTTTGGATGAGAAGGACACTGAAAAAGGTGAAGGCGTTGAGAAGTGAGCAACTTGTCCACATTGCACTTTTTGCTGAGCGCCAGCATCTTTTTCAATTGACTCCAATGAGAACAGAGTTGCCGCCTCCAGAAAGAGCGCACTGACCAGTGTTTTCTATTTGTGCAGCTGCTCCAAGTTCCAAGTCAGAAAAGCGCTGGTGACGTCACTTTAGAAATAGCATGAAAAGCTTGTTTTTGGACGTGTCGGTCTGACAAACACTTTCATATCAAAGACCGAAAGCCAGTTTGGCCGGGTGGACCCCGGATGTTCTGCCAGTGAGTCTTCCTTCCTCGCTATATGGCTGTCGGACTGAGCGGAGACAAGCTCATTCATACAAAGTGTCAGAGCAACAATCTTCCAGTTGATGCTGATAGTGAAAAAAACAATCTTTGCACAAACAGATGATTCAATCCATGCTAGGCTCTCAGCGCACCGACAGCACCTTTCTGCCAGAAAAGGCTCTTTGTGGTCACGGGCCCTTAAGGCGAGACACGGGAGGCAAAAACATTGTTTTCCCTGCACAGGCCAATTTTGAGATTTTGTGCTATTTTGATTCCATAACATGTTTTCTTTCAGGCTTTTGGAAGGAAAACGTACAAAATACACATTTAAGTGTTTATTTTTACTATAGTTTGTCTATTTGCGTCTGTAGATATCTCCTAAATTCACCAAAAGTTAGCATTCTAACGTAACATAAATACCGCGACCCGCTATTTGGAAACCCTTTGGACCTTGGCTTTATCCCAAAGTTCAGCTTTTGGTTCCCTGAAATGTGTTTAAATATGCGAGGTATATGGCTCATTGCCATATTTAACCATGCTATTTTCCAAGAAAAACTTTGTAATACAAAAAACAATTGCGTTTATTGTTATTCCTGGAAGAACATTTCTAGCTTGATACTTAAGTAAAAAAGTACCCCTATTTCACTGGGGGTCTCCGCCTTAATTGAAATAGCAACACTAATGAGTAAACGCCACGACAGCAGAAGGCCTGATTTCAGAGTTTGGAGACCTTTCTGCTTTTTTTCATTTGTCTATTGGTTTTAGGGTTTGAGCTAAATCGCTATCTGATTTATATGCGGTGCAGTCCCTGAAAAGCTTGTGTTGGGGTTTGACTAGTTTAAGAAGCAAACCAAGGGGAATTAAGTGGCCGTCCCGCACAGCGGACCCTGGAAACAACGTGTGTTTTTCTTCTGCTGAACGCCCTTATTCCCTCACTACAATATTTGATATAACAGAGGTCGAACTGTAAGTCCTCTTCTACTAAACACCTCACACACACAACACAACACACACACACACACCAGCCCTTAAGACCTCCACTGCTGCTGAAGACTTTTTCAGTTGCAAGCCTTTTATGCAAGCTGTCTCGGCCCCGCTGGTTAGGTGTGTACTGTGTACTGTGTGTACGTGTTGGTGTACTGTGTGCCTGTGCTAGCCACTGGGGTCGTGTGTGTGTGCTAGCCACTGGGTCGTGTTGTGTGTGTGCTCGAAGAAATGGATTGTAATGCTGCCATGTGTTAGAGGTCACCCATTGTACGGGCTTGGGTTCTTTAACACTGAGTGTGTTTCCGCGAGTCCTCTGATGTGACTGCTAACATATGTTGTCGTGTTCTCTTCGCTTCTGCTTCTTGATCGGCCTCCTTCTCTCCCGTTTGATCTTCGTCTTCAACACTTTTGTCGTTCACTCTCGGTGCTGTCGCTGCGATCTCTCACTCTTTCTTCTTCTTCGGAAACAAACAATGGTTCGATTCTGTGAAGAACCGTTGGCGGTTTTCCCTGCATAAAGTCTTGGAGTTCGTGAACTCTGAGGTGGTTCTTTTGATCTGTTCTGTGAAGAAGTGTGATTCTGCGGGCTCACATAATCCTGACCAGAACCAAAGTGTGTTGTGGCTGAATTGTTTATGAGGAGCTTTGATGCTGATTGAATGTCCTTATCACTGTGAGGTCGCGCTATCAGTCCCGTGACCTGTATAAGGAATCTTGGGCTGTTGTGGTTTCCCATGTGAATTGGGGTCATGCAGAAGGTACCCAAAGATTGCAACTTTCTAGACACTGTTTAGGTTCGCACATTGCCTCACCAAGTATATGGTAGCTTCCGAGTTGCAATCTAGGGTCATTTCTGAAACAACTTATGAATGCTTTGAAGATTCTTGACCAGGTGAACAGATTCCGGCCGACAAGCGTGCTTACATTAATTCGCGCTGCCAGTACGGAATGTTTTTTCTACGGCTATTGTCTAAGTTACTCAATTGTTCATCTGTCCGTCCATCGAGCAATCTTAGTCCACCATCTCCGCATCCTCACTGCGCGGCGAGCGTCCATCTGGTTCCGCACAGCGGACCTGCCATCCCATCCACGACGCGCACTGCTGTCCTTACTCATTTGTATTTGTCCTCTATGGTTTTCCTTTCTGTTTATCGCATGCCGGGGCGCGCTAACGTCCCACAAATGAAACCTGTCCCTGGAGTGCACGACCTGTTAACTTCACCTAACACTTTTGCATTAAACAACAAAAACGCTGTAACAGCTTTTATTTTAAATCAAAACGTTTTATCAAAATGTTACGCCCAAACCAAATTAATCCTACGAACATCCTGGAGAGCAGAAGACTCCTAAATACCCTGTCTTGCGATTCCGCACGCCCAAAAGTGGAAAACATGATTC